GTAAGTAGTAAGAATTGAAATAGGTATATCGTTATGGATCATTAGCATTTTTTTATGTGGAGTACTTTACATTAAGATAATTTTATTAGATTTTGAAGCCTTACTATGTGTTTACAATGCGCTTGCTCTGAATTTACTACAATACTGCATTGCAACCTGGGGTGGAATTGGAAAGAGGAACTCTCCTTTGAACGTGCGCAAAGAGCAATATTAAGTTTATGCTAGATAAATCACAAAGATATTGCACCGATTTTTTAAGGAATATTTTGTACTGTTTTTATTTGTTTTAATTTGTTCTGTAGCTTATTGTCGTGTCTTTTATACTGCGTATAAGCACCAAAATACAGATTTTGCACGCACGCAGTCAAACATGAATGCACGCACGCACGTACTCTCCATCTCTCTCTCTCTCTCTCTCTCACACACACACACACACACACACACACACACACACACGCACACACTCACTCACACACGCACTCACACACGCACTCACACACGTACGCACGCACGCAAACTGAATTGTTTATAAAAAAATAACCACGAAGGGGATGGCGGGGCCTATTCGCTCGCTAACCTAACCTGTCCGAGTCGGGGTGCCCCGCTCGCTTCGCTTACTTTTGCACTCAATAACACAACAAAACATAAACTTTTATAATTATCTTCATTTATAAACATAATTTATAGCTGTCACTACTAATAAAAAAGGATCTTTGCGAATTTAGCGAAGCTTAGCGAAGTCGTCGAAAAACAGGAGCCAGATAAAAACGTTAGGGAACACATTTACTTAAACTCGGAAACAACGGAATGACGTAAAGTATATCTGTCACTGTCAACAAAATGGCCGGCCTAGTAAACCATTTTACGCTTTTACTTTTATAACTTTTCAGATGATTTTGACAGATTCAACGTCAAAAACGTTAGCATTTAGTTAAATGCACGTTTTATTTCACGTTTAGTTAGTGATTTACCAATATTTTTAAAAATAATTAAAAATACTTCGACGCTGCTCAGGCAGCAAAAATCGCATGGGGCTGCTTCAGATAAAGCCCCTTGACCCCCCCCCCCCCCCCGCAAACACACACACACACACACAGTGACAGAATCCTCAATTTCAGGCGACTTAACTTTCAAACCCAAACTATCAATTAATTTAAAATTATGCAATAAAATGTACAGCTTAATGATTATAAGGACATAAATGACTTGAGTAATCGTGAATGAAATCTGCAATTATAGAAATAGAATATTTTAATGAAAATGCTAATAATGAATTAAGGTAAATAATATATTACTGTATAATATATATGTTTGTATGTAATTACTCTAAGATAATTTGTAAATATGTTGCATGTCAGAATTTTACAAACTGTAAGAGTCATCTGTTAACAACAATACCTTGTTCTCTGCACTTTATACAATGAGCAAAAAATTATTGTGATTGAGGTTACGATTGTTATTATGATTAAGAGTGTAAAAAAGTTCTAATTGTAACAATAATTATGGCTAGGACTAAGTATAAAAATAATATAATTATTATCTACACTACTATTATAAAGAGGAAATACTTGTTTGTTTGTTTGTTTGTTTGAAATGAATAGGCTCCAAAACTACTGAACCGATTTGAAAAATTATTTCACCATTAGAATCCTACATTATCCCTGATGAACATAGGCTATGTAATATTTTCAAAAAAGTTAGGGATCCGTATGTAAACTTCGTTAATGTAACCCAAGGTGTGAAAAAAATACCAAAAAGAATAATTATATCGCCTACGCTTCGGAAACTATTGATTATAGAGCAAAGTAATGTACTTCACTTTTATAGGAGGAGTGCCGTGTAGTGGCGGTTAAGAATATCCACTACCCCATATCTTCCCGTGGGTGTCGTAAAAGGCGACAAAGGGAAACAGGCAGGAGATGGGCAGCAGCATCTTCCTGATAATAGCCAAAATAAGAATAAAAAAACTGCGGTTGCCAACCCGCTCGCCAAGCGTGGCAACTATGGCAATATACCCCCCATGAGCAATGACAATAATAAACGGCCCCCAGTCCCCGGCGGCCCCGCTATTCCTGGCTACGGTGGCGACCATGGTAACGGCGGGGCAGGGGGTGCTAAGAATCTCCGGTGGAGGTTCGGTTGCCACCTACGACGACTCGACCTGGCAACATACAACGCACGCACCCTGAGGACTGACGAGAAGATTGTGGAGCTGGAAGAAGAGATAGACAAGTTACGCTGGCATATTATAGGATTATCCGAAGTCCGAAGAGAGGGGGAGGACACGGTAATCCTCGAATCCGGCAACTTGCTCTATTACCGGGAGGGCGACCATCTGTCCCAAGGAGGTGTCGGATTTATCGTCCACAAGTCTCTCGTTAACAACGTTGTAAAGATTGAGAGTGTGTCGACGAGGGTTGCGTACCTTATACTCAGAATCACCAAACGGTATTCGCTGAAGGTCATACAGGTTTACGCACCAACCTCGGCACACCCCGATCAGGAGGTGGAGGAAATGTATGAGGATATCTCTAGAGCCATGCATTCCTCCAAAACCCAATATACGGTGTTAATGGGAGACTTCAATGCAAAACTAGGCACAAGAGAGAACGGTGAGCTGAAAGTAGGGAAATTTGGAATAGGGCAACGGAACCCAAGGGGCCAGCAGCTGGCCGACTTCATGGAGAAAGAGGGACTCTTTATGATGAACTCTTTCTTCCAGAAGCGGCCCCACAGGAAGTGGACCTGGTCGAGCCCCGACGGTTCGACAAAAAATGAGATTGACTTCATTATGACGACCAGACGACAACTGTTCAGTGATGTCTCAGTGATCGCGAGGGTGAAAACCGGCAGCGATCACCGAATGGTTAGAGGCACACTGAACCTAAACGTTAAGTTGGAGAGGTCTCGTCTAATGAAGTCAACGCTCCGTCCCCCTCGTGCTCTACTCCAAAGTCCCGAAACCTTTCAGCTCGAGTTACAAAACCGTTTTCAGTGCCTAGAAGACTGCAATGAAGTGGACGATTTGAATGACAAGCTCGTGGAAACTGTCCATGCGGTCGGAGCTAAGTTCTGCAAGACCCGCCGCAGAAGAACACAAAAACTCTCCGATCACACTCTTAAACTCATGGCTGTTAGACGGAATATAAAGCTGCAGTCCTCAGAAGATTTGAAAGCATACAGGTAACTGAACAGACAGATCTCCAAATGCATGCGGCGGGACTTACGCAAATTCAATACAGCTCGTATTGAAGAAGCGATCGAGCGGAACCGAGGCTCCAAAGTCTTTGCCAGAGATCCGTCTGCCAGAAAGCGCCAACTGTCAAAGCTGAAGACAGAATGTGGCAGCATCGTTTCCGGGGCACCTGAGATTTTGAGTGAGATTGAGAGGTTCTATGGGCAGCTGTACACGTCATCGTTGGAGCCGCACGCAAGTGTGAGTAACGATCCAAGAGCGAGTCTTATCCGACATTATTCCGATGATATCCCGGACGTCAGTCTGAGCGAGATTAGAATGGCTCTCCAGCACCTTAAAAACGGCAAGGCCCCAGGCGAGGATGGAATTACAGCGGAGCTTCTGAAAGCGGGTGGAAAACCGGTACTTGAAGTCCTTCAGAAGCTCTTTAATTCTGTCCTCCATGGTGGCATTACACCGGAGGCGTGGAGCAGAAGTGCGGTGGTCTTGTTCTTCAAGAAAGGCGACAACGCTCTCTTGAAGAACTACAGACCGATTTCCCTTCTGAGCCGCGTCTACGTGCTGTTTTCGAGAGTCATTACGAATCGTCTCGCGCGTAGACTTGACGACTTCCAGCCTCCCGAACAAGCCGGTTTCCGAAAAGGCTTTAGCACCATAGACCACATACATACCCTTCGGCAATTTGTACAGAAGTCCGAGGAGTACAATTTGCCACTATGTCTGGCGTATGTGGACTATGAGAAAGCCTTTGATTCCGTCGAAATTTGGGCGGTGCTGCAGTCCCTTCAGCGATGCCAAGTTGACTGTCGGTATATCGAAGTGTTGAAGTGCTTGTACAGTAGGGCTACGATGGCTATCCGAGTACAGAACCAGAGTACGAAACCTATCCAATTGCAGAGAGGTGTAAGACAGGGTGACGTCATATCCCCGAAACTCTTTACCGCTGCATTGGAAGATGTTTTCAAGCTTCTGGACTGGAAAGGATACGGTATCAACATCAATGGCGAGTACATCACTCACCTTCGATTTGCCGACGATATAGTCCTTATGGCAGAATCGCTGGAGGACCTAAGCATTATGCTCAATGACCTCAATAGTGTTTCCCAACGGATAGGTCTTAAGATGAACATGGACAAAACAAAGATCATGTTTAATGTCCATGTCACACCTATGCCGGTAGTTGTTGGGAACACTAAGCTCGAAGTTGTTGACGAGTATGTTTACCTGGGACAAATAGTCCGACTAGGTAAGTCCAACTTCGACCGAGAGGTCAATCGACGGATTCAATTAGGTTGGGCAGCGTTCGGGAAATTACGGCACATCTTCTCGTCAGGTATACCTCAAAACTTGAAAACGAGACTGTACACCCAGTGCGTGTTGCCAGTGATGACATACGGAACTGAGACGTGGTCCTTCACTGCTGGCCGGATGAGGAAGCTCAAGGTCGCTCAGCGAGCTATGGAGAGGGCTATGCTCGGAGTTTCTCTGCGTGATAAACTCAGAAATGAGGATATCCGCAGTAGAACTAGAGTGACCGACATAGCCCAACGGATTAGTAAGCTGAAGTGGCAATGGGCCGGAAATATAGCTCGAAGAACCGACAACCGATAGGGAAGAAAGGTTCTCGAGTGGCAGCCTCGTACCGGCAGGCGAAGTGTAGGGCGTCCCCCCACTAGATGGAGTGACGACCTGGTAAGATATGCAGGAAGTCGATGGATGCAGGTGGCTCAGGACCGTGCTTTGTGGCATTCTTTGGGGGAGGCCTATGTTCAGCAGTGGACTTGTGAAGGGCTGTAATGATGATGATGATGATGATTTATAGAGGATATTAATCTCTACAAAAAGTCTGCGATACCATATGTTTAACTATTACAGTTATGTCACAATAACTACTTTTTCATGTTAAAATGTGAAATAGTAACGCCGGTACAAATACTACTAATACGAGTACGTACTGATACGAATAATGTAGCCTAGACATTATTCGTATCAGTACCTGTATCATGCATCTACATCTACATCTACATCTACACTACTATTATAAAGAGGAAAGATATGTTTGTTTGTTTGTTTGTTTGAATTGAATAGGCTCCGAAACTACTGGACCGATTTGAAAAATTCTTTCACCATTAGAATCCTAAATTATCCCTGATGAACATAGGCTATGTAATATTTTCAAAAAAGTTAGGGATCCGTATGTAAACTTCGTTAATGTAACCCAAGGTGTGAAAAAAATACCAAAAAGAATATAATTAATAGAATCAGGCGTTACTTTGCGGAAATCCATTATATAAAAGCTTTTACAAAAATTTACTTCGCAAATATCCGCGTTATAAAATAAAATGATGTGTCTTACCTAGTATGAAGAAGCACCCCCGCCCTCCCTCAATTGCGTGCACTATCCCCGTCACCACTAATCCCAGCACCACTACTTCCAACACCACTACACTAGGCAAGACACACCACTGACGATAATACGACACGTGTTTCGCCTCTACACGAGGCATCCTCAGGTGATATAGACTCTACGGTGGCTAACCGCTAAGTGAAAAAGAATACTTATATCGCGTACGCTTCGGAAACTATTGATAATAGAGCAAAGTAATGTACTTCACTTTTATAGAGGATATTAATCTCTACAAAAAGTCTGCGATACCATATGTTTAACTATTACAGTTATGTCACAATAACTACTTTTTCATGTTAAAATGTGAAATAGTAACGCCGGTAGAAATACTACTAATACGAGTACGTACTGATACAAATAATGTGGCCTAGACATTATTCGTATCAGTACCTGTATCATGCATCTACATCTACATCTACATCTACACTACTATTATAAAGAGGAAAGATTTGTTTGTTTGTTTGTTTGTTTGAATTGAATAGGCTCCGAAGCTACTGGACCGATTTGAAAAATTCTTTCACCATTAGAATCCTAAATTATCCCTGATGAACATAGGCTATGTAATATTTTCAAAAAAGTTAGGGATCCGTATGAAAACTTCGTTAATGTAACCCAAGGTGTGAAAAAAAATACCAAAAAGAATCCTTATATCGCCTACGCTTCGGAAACTATTGATAATAGAGTAAAGTAATGTACTTCACTTTTATAGGAGATATTAATCTCTACAAAAAAATCTGCAAAACCATGTGTTTAACTATTACAGTTATGTCACAATATCTACTTTTTCATGTTAAAATGTGAAATAGTAACGCCGGTACAAATACTACTAATACGAGTACGTACTGATACAAATAATGTGGCCTAGACATTATTCGTATCAGTACCTGTATCATGCATCTACATCTACATCTACATCTACACTACTATTATAAAGAGGAAAGATTTGTTTGTTTGTTTGAATTGAATAGGCTCCGAAAGTACTGGACCGATTTGAAAAATTCTTTCACCATTAGAATCCTACATTATCCCTAATGAACATAGGTGATATAATATTTTCAAAAAAGTTAGGGATCCGTATGAAAACTTCGTTAATGTAACCCAAGGTGTGAAAAAAATTACCAAAAAGAATCCTTATATCGTGTACGCTTCGGAAACTATTGATAATAGAGCAAAGTAATGTATTTCACTTTTATAGAGGATATTAATCTCTACAAAAAATTCTGCGATACCATATGTTTAACTATTACAGTTATGTCACAATAACTATTTTTTCATGTTAAAATGTGAAATAGTAACGCCGGTACAAATACTACTAATACGAGTACGTACTGATACGAATAATGTGGCCTAGACATTATTCGTATCAGTACCTGTATCATGCATAACCACCAATTACGTTAACCATGTAATTTTATTAACATATTTCACTTTTTAAATCTTTGTTAATTCAGCAACCGTCCGTCGTGATGTCTCTCTCGAAGTTCGCATGTCGCAAGGCGCAGATGCTTGATATACGCGGGTGAAACCGCGGGGCACAGCTAGTATATGTATATTTTAAACAGTGGTAGAGCCACGCGGCAGCTTTTCCTGTCGCACGGATGGGCCGGCTTGAACCGGGGTGGTACTACGACCTCACAGAAAACCAGCGTGAAGTAGAGGTTTACCTCTGCGTTTCGCTTGGTGAGTGCAGGTGGCCGGAGGCCCTTTTTACTGGAAATGAGGCATTCCATCTTAGTCCTCACGGGTGACAACGCATCTACATTTTGATTTGTAATAGAGGATAGATGTAGATGTCTATGGGCCGCATCTCATGTCTCATTATATAATAGCCACGCTCGGCAGGTCAGGTGAATAGGCAATTGCAGTAGCAGATGTACTTTCTCGTCATCATCATTTCATCTTTATTATAGATATTCCCCATATATCCCGCTCCTCTATAACAAAGTGTTTAGTTAATACACAATCATCATCCATCCATTGTTGAATATATGCCTACACTATAGAACACCTGCATCCATGAACGCTCTGCGTGTTTCATCAGGTCGTCACTCCAGCTAGTGAAGAGGTCGCATACTATAGGGATACTTAGGTGACTACTTACTTTTAAAAACATACGACTAGATACTTTGTCACCCTACTACTAACTCATCACATTGTTTTATTCAAAAATATTTGATAAATCGTGTATGATTTTCCTTAAATTTTATTTTAGAGTTTGTTGTTAAATATGGTCATTTCGTAATTTTTAAACAGCCTAACTAAACGCTGACAATTATAACAGTTACGAGTTACATCGATAATGAAAACCAGTAATGATTATCAACTGCCAGGTCATTAAATAAAGATATCATCAAAGTATCTACGTATATAATGTCATTATATACAATATTCTTTTAGTCGTAAATTATATTTTCGAGTTGTTAATAATAGTAAAGACAGAAGCTTAGCACCAGCTTTTAATTGTAAAAAGTATAATCAATTTCGAGTAGTAGCAATGTGTGAATTTTCGAAAACCTTTAGAAAGAATTGTATTGCAATAACTTTACTTTTTGTATTGATATTTTGTGCTCCAAATGTAGGAGCTGCAAAAATATTGGCTGTGTTTCCAGTACCATCGATAAGTCACCAAGTAGTGTTTCGGCCGCTCACACAGGAATTAGTTCTTCGAGGTCATGAGTTAACTGTAATAACTCCAAATCCCGCTTTTGCCAAAGGACAGGCCCCACAAAATCTAATCGAAATCGACGTCCAAAATATATCCTACGCAGTTAAGAATGCGGTTATAAAGGAAGTGAGTGAAAATAGTAACAATCTATTGAAACAATTGATGTTACTCTCACAATTATTTTTAAAAGTGTTTGAGGCGCAATTACAAAACAAAGAATTCCAAAGGATATTGCATTTGGACGAGAATTATTTTGATTTACTTCTCATAGAAGCATGTGCAACTGGCACTCTAGGATTATCACATGTATTTAAGGCTCCGGTCATTCAAGTTAGTTCCTTAGGTGCACTAATGTCAAATTATCAAGCACTGGGTATTCCTATGCATCCATTTCTTTATCCTGCGTCTATGCGAACTAGAGTATATAATCTTACCATAGCAGAAAAAATGAGTGAAATTTTGGGCATAGCTTTTTCAATGTATATGGCGGATTCCACAGAAAACGCATATAATCAGTTGTTGCGTAAAAACTTCGGTGATGATGTGCCAAATATATCAATCTTAACAAACAATATAGATATGTTGTTACTAAATACCAATCCCACATGGAGTGGTAGTTATCCGGTACCACCGAACGTTATTTTCATAGGAGGAATACATCAAAATAAGCTCAAGGAACTACCAAAGGTAAGGCTTCATCATCATTATCATTATAGCCATTCATAAGTCCACTGCTGAACGTAGGCCTCCCCCAAGGAACGCCACAAAGCACGGTCCCGAGCCATCTGCAGCCATTGACTTCCCACATGTCTTACCAGGTTGACACTCTATCTGGTATGGGGATATCCTACACTTCGTCTGCCGGTACGAGGCTGCCACTCGAGAACCTTTCTTCCCCATCGGTTGTTGGTTCTTCGAGCTATATGGTCGACCGATTGCCACTTAAGCTTACTAATCCTTCGGGTTCTGTCAGTTGCTCTAGTTCTATTGCGCATATCCTCGTTTTTAAGTCTATCACTCAGGAAAACCCTGAGCATAGCCCTCTCCATAGCTTACTGAGCGACTTTGAGCTTCCCCATACGGCCAGTAGTGAAATACCAAGTCTCAGATTCATAGATCATCACTGGCAACACGAATTGGTTATACAATCTAGTTTTGAGGTTTCGAGGTATACCTGATGGGAATATGATGTGTCGTAATCTCCCTGACACTGACCAGCCGAGCTGAATGACCTCTCGGTCAAAGTTGGACTTACCTAATCTGACTATTTGCACATCACCCACCTTCGATTTGCCGACGATATAACCCTTATGGCAGGATCGCTGGAAGACCTAAACACTACGTAGTACGCTCAATGAACTCAATAGTGCCTCCCAACGGATAGGTCTTAAGATGAACATGGACAAAACAAAGATCATGTATAACGTCCATGTCACACCTATTCCGGTAGTTGTTGGGAGCAGTAAGCTCAAAGTTGTTGACAAGTATGTTTACCTTGGACAAATCGTCCGACTAGGTAAGTCCAACTTCGATCGACGGAGTCATGTCGACTAGGCAGTGTTCGGGAGATTACGACACATCTTCTCGTCAGGTATACCTCAAAATTTGAAAAAGAGGGAGTACAACCAGTGCGTGTTGCCAGTGATGACTTATGGAAATGAGACGTGGTCCTTGACTGCTCGTGGACCTAAGCACTATGCTCATTGACTCAATAGTGTCTCCCAACGGATAGGTCTTAAGATAAACATGGACAAAACAAAAGTCACGTGTAACGTCCATGTCACACCAATGCCGTTAGTTGTTAGGAGCACTAAGCTCGAAGTTTTGACGAATTTAATTGAAGTATTGCTATAATGTATCTTGTGTGTGTAAAATTTTTAGTTTATTTTATTAATTTTTATATGTGAGTTTCGAAGTGACAGACGATTTTTCTTGTGTGTGCAGATTTTCTCCAACAAAAAATGACAAACAGTTAGTTCTGATTTGGGAAAAAACGCTATGGCAACTCTCCTCCAGTCCGCCGATGTCGCGTGTGGCTCTATGATTATAACTATGAAAATTATGAATATAGAACATTTTTAATTATTCAAATATTTACTACTTTACAGGACTGTTAGTACTACTTTACTGTACTTTTTCAGGACTTAAAATCATATCTTGATTCATCTAAAACTGGAGTGATTTACGTTAGTTTCGGTTCCAACGTGAAAATGGATATGTTCTCTCCAAAAATTATCGAAACTTTTGTAACAGTTTTTTCTGAACTTCCTTATGATATTTTATGGAAATGGGATCAAGACGAACCTCCTGGTCTACCGGAAAATGTTAAAATTTCTAAATGGTTTCCTCAAGCTGACTTACTGCGTAAGTGTTTATTCAACCACTTCAAAATCATATTAAATGCAATAACTCTATACCTTGACATTTTAATACATTTTAATGTACCGTGCCAAGTGCGGCATTTACTTTCTATCTGCCTGCCATGCTCTGAAATTGTTTCAAGTAGATAATTGATATTAGACACAGTTATAAAATATATCTATTCAAATACATCCGAAATAAAATCATTGCTTATAAGGGTAAATAATACTTAATATAAATAGTCTGAACTCTGAATTTTTCTTGTAAGAAAGCGATGGGAGGTTTTCACCATATTACTTCTAAATCTTTTCAGGACTTTAGCATTAATCGAAAAAAAATACACAATTTTCTCAATTTCCTGTTTTTTGTGCATAAATGGTAATGAAACCATTTGTCCACGGTGATCTGAACTCAGTTTTTTAATTATGAATATCTTCATTGGTACAACATCTGTAAAAATATTATCAATACAAGTTGCACTATACTGCAATTCGTATAGCTTTAAGGAATAAATTATCAAGATTGTGTGATTTTAACAATGAGCAAAATTTAATGCTAATGGAAGAAGCTTCCAGGAGATTGATATTACAGTCTCCGCATACTACAAGAGATTTATTCTGTTTACTAAGCTTAACTGAAACTTCTTCCATAATGTTTACAAAGGTATCATACCTTGAACATGGAGGTCTGTACACACTGAAAACAATGAGGTGCTCAAGCTCATCACATGCTATTTCTACAGTTAGCTCAACAGAGAGGCTCACAATATCTTTACGTTCTTTACATGACATGGATTTATTAGCTAATATTAAGGAGCCACTACGTAAATTATTATCTCTATTGAAATAACGGACCACCGGTTAATAACTGAAATTAATTATGGAGTTGTAGACTTTCAACCAATGTTTAGTAATACATAAAATATGTATATAGTTACTATTTAAAAATAATTCAATTTCTAGTTCTTTGTACATAACATACCTTTTATATGTAATGTATGCCGATGGAAAACGTTGTGATGAGCGAGTACGGGATTCGATGACTAGCCAAGCTAATCATGGGAGTGGTTACGGGGCCATAATAGAAATCGAAGTCGTCAGACAATAAAGAATAATCAGGGAATAGATAATGTTCTTTTGTATTGTTGTTAATATAGCATTTAAACGAAAAGGGATCTATGCCAAAACAGCCTCATCAGACTCTTTTATTTATATTTTTTACAGAAATTAACATATCAGAAGCGAAAATACAAACATAAATAAAAAGAATTATAATGTTGACGATTTTTGTGTATAAATTTTTTATGTAACAACTGTTGTAAAGATTTACATTGTGAGCAGAAATGATAAACAAATTTGGGTCTTTCCTTGTGGCTGAAGGCCATATAGCCAATGCCATAAAGAAAGCAATGTATCTCAAACAATGCTTATTAAATACCTAAAACCATTTTGCATTTATTTCATTGGTGGAACTATTATGGCCATGAATGGGCATATCCCTTTGAGTTTACATCATCTCTATATAAAGTTTGAATATATTTAGACAAAAGAGATTTTTTAGGTTTAAAATATTTGGATGAATATAATTAAGACAAACCATGCTTTTGCTCTGCAGATCATCCAAAAATGAAGCTGTTTATCACACAAGGTGGACTACAATCAACCGATGAAGCAATTACAGCTGGTGTGCCGTTAATTGGTTTTCCAATATTGGTAGATCAGGCGTACAACGCTGAGAAATACGTTCATTTTAATATTGGCATGAAACTTGACATAAACAAACTAACCAAAGAACAACTTAGAAACTCGATAGTTACTGTTATTAGTAATGAAAAGTGAGTATACATTTTTTATATTATTTATTTAAAAAACACTAACAACGATATTTGTAATATTAAGCTAGCAGTACTATATTCCTTTTAATTATATTTCTGCCAAGCTTAAAATGCTTGTGTTCGGAGTGATTCACGACATTAGTCAAATTAGAGTCGAATCCACGACCTTTTAACTTCGCATTAAGCATCCTGCCATTACGCTACTGTCCCTTTACTTACTTTTGTTGTCATAAAAGACATTTTGGGGGAAATTATGCACTGTATATCCTGCGTGTAATAAAACTCATAACAAATGTTTTTGTTTAAAAACCAGTGTTACGATTAATTTCTTATTTATTAGGCCTATTTCTTATTTTACAGTCCAATGATGAATAAATGAAAATATCCTCTGCCATTGTTTAGAATATGCCACAATTGCCTTCGTAAGTTAATTGGCCATCATCCTGGCATAACTCTCATTCATTTAATCCGTGTCGCCGGATTAGTATTTCATATCAAGAATATGCGAAAAACATTTTTTTCTTCAAGTGAAACTTTAACAATAAACATGTGTTTGTTGTTAAAGTTTCACTTGTAACATCACTGTTACCATGTGGTAAAAGTATTAAAAAATTTCGAACCCAAATCCAATAGGATAGTAATAGATAGTAAATTACGTTTGCGAGAGTTTTAGCTCTGCGCTTACCATTTCAACAATCCTCGCAAAGTAAGAGAGTTTCAATATCTGCTTGCCGCTTAGCGCATACCACCACTGATCGCTACTCTTGGCATGCGGGTTGACGAACGCATTTCCAGACGTCTCGCACCTTTGGTGCTCTCATTCCCAGACCAGCGACGGGTAAAAGCTCATCGCTGGTGTGGGAATTTCTCGTCCGACATCTATCGGAAGCCATAAGATTTTATATCCTTTCCCTTATTCGTCTCTTACGATACTCGTTAAAGGACATGGAGTTAATTTGAAAAAAGTTGTAAAAAAGTTATCACATTAAATTTCGATATCATTTCTTTTTGTTATAGTTACCGGAGGAATATTGTAAAACTACGTGCGCTTATTAATGATCAGCCACAACCACCTTTAGAACGAGCGGTTTGGTGGACTGAATACGTATTACGTAATGGCGGTGCTCGCCATTTGCGCTCTCCAGCTGCAAACATATCGTGGTTCGAATACTTGGAAATCAAATTTCTGATTATTTTACTATCTGTAATCTTAACAATACTAATAATATTGATAACATTTGTTAAACTTATACTTAGATTCTTCCGTATGCTTTTTACAAGGAAAAAATTAAAAATAAATTAAAGAATTGAACATTTGTAATTTTTTATATGTAATATTATATTTATTCTTAATTTAACGAAATCGTTTTCAACATTTTAAAGCTATTTTTGATTTTGTATTCCACAATCAAAATAGAGTATTGTAAAGTTACATTCTATATTTACTGCTGGACACACTGCAAAATTGTAGTTAACAATTTCATTGTTACCAACGGAAACAAAACTCTGTTTGTTCTAGTACTACAAAATTTCACTCGTAATAAATCAGAGCCTACACAAAGAGCTCCTTTTGCAATAAAAAGAGCAAATGAAATACGTTTATAAAAACTCATAATATCTGGACAGGACGTCATTCACTTCCTAATGAACATTGTTGTCATTATTTGCGGCACTTTCGTGCGATATTTTTAAAAGGTTTAAAGCTATAAAATAAATGAAAAATGAGTGATAAAAAGACATGTTTTGATTTTAAATATTTAGGACTCCTGATTTTATTTTGGATTTTATCTAATAACGGAGCTATTTGGGTTTGCAAAACAAAAAAATCTATAAAGAAATTAAATGTTTCATTCAAGAATCGAAGGAGATAGGTTGACACTAAAAATTTTTTTATAAAATAAGGGTGACTAAAAGAACACATAGTCCCCCTGACGCGAGCAAGCTATGCCGTAACTATATTAGTAGTAGAATTGCAGCACGAATGGTTCGGTTTGACCGAGGAAGTATCACGCCAAGTATTGTGAGCGTAGAGAACCGGCGAGTGCTTTTTTACTGGAAACGAACCATTCCATCTTAGTCCTCACGGGTGACGATACATCTGCACTTTAATTTGTAATCGTGGATAGATCGACTTGTCCTTAGAACAGTGTGCTATGTGATCATGGAGCAAAACTGAACTAAATAGCTAGACGAGATAAGACGTACGTTTTTAGAGTTTTTATATCTTATTTAGTTTCGGAAATATAGAATCGAATAATGTTCCATCTTACATTAGCTTCGAATACAATTTCACGGAGTGATCAGGTATCGCGCAGTGAGCAGTGACAACGGCATGACACAACAAATGTCAAGAAATCTGTTAGGAACTAGCTGATGTATGGGAAGAAATTCTGCATGAAAATAGTAGGGCCAAAGAAATTATATGCAACATCTTGAAATGACCTGGACTAGGTACAACCAGGATCGCTTACGAGCTTCTAATGTTCGACCGGGGATCGAACCTGGGTCCTACTGAATTTAGGCATGGTACTGACTAAGTATACCAGAGATATTTAAGCGAACGTTGAGGTGGCGAACTATTTACTTGCGTTATAGAATAATGAGTATTACAAATTTTTTTTTGCGTCCAGAAGCAAAGTAAAGGGTTACCCTCCGGAAAGCGGGGGAGGGAGGTGGTGAATGCTCTAAGCATACCACGCAGCCGGCTGCGTGGTTATGTGGGAATCACTGTGAAACCTAAGTGCCTACCCACTAAACATTACCTGGGACTGACTTTCGCCTGTATGGAATCGAAAGCGACCCCCTTTAGGGAAAGGGGGCGCAGAGGGAAATGGGGAGCATTACAATTTTTTTGCACCTAATGGAAGGCACCCTCTGGAAGCGGGGGAGGGAGGTGGTGAATGCTCATAGCATACCACGGCAGCTGGCTGCGTCGTTATGTGGGACTCACTTTGAAGAAGTGCCTACCCACTAAACACCACCTGTGGGACCGGCATTGGCCTGTAGGGTCTTTCTGCTGAATCAGAATTTTTCTGCGCCCAGAAGCCATAAAAAGGGCTACCCTCCGGGAAGCGGGGAAGGGAGGCGTAAATGTTCTAAGCATACCACGACAGCCGGCTGCGGGGTTATGTGGGAGTCACTGCGAAATTTAAGTGCCTACCCGCTAAACACCACATGTGAGACTGGCATTGGCTTGTGTGGCATTTCTGCCGAATCGGAAGCGACCCTCTTTATGGAAAAGGGGGTGCAGTCGGCGAGGAGCCGCTGAGAGGTGAACCTAACTAAGAAAACTTAAGGACGGGGAGAAAATTCGGCCTGAGCCGCCAGGAGGCAGTTAGTTCGGCCGAAAGCTTGTTTGGGGGGGGGGGGGGTCCGAGAGAGATTTTCTTGGCCTACGGACTCGATTAGCAAGAGGGTAGTGGTGCTGTATTGGAAGCTGCCTCACGAATGAGATGATTTGAGTGAGACTCTGAGGCTTTGAGGAAGTTCTCAGAGTGTGTTTTAAGAAATTGCTGAATTGTGAGGAGCTCTAAGTGTCGATGGACGTCAGCGTTGCGGACATACCAGGGTGCGTTCATAGCCCGACGACAAAAGTGGTTTTCAACTATTTGAAGTTTGTTAATGATGTTGTGATTAGTATGAGCAAATATGGGGCCCGCGTAAGTCATAACTGGTCGTATACAGACCTTATAAAGGGTTTGCTTGTTTCGCAGGGACATTTTACTGTGATGGCCCAGCATACTGTTGAGCCTACTCAGATAACATTACAAATTACATTACATAGCCTTATATACAATAATAATACGCTCCCAATATACGCGCCATCTAATTGAAGTAGGGATACAAACATTATGGCTGCCTAACGTAAACAATGGATCGTGTGAACTGTACGTAGTCGTTTGTCCTCGTCGCGCGTCACACGAACAAAAGATGATGCGTCCATTTTGCGAAGGCGGGGTCAACGCACCGGTAGGCAGTGCATCGCGGCGCTAAGTAATCGTCATAGATCACGCCACTTATAACGTCATGGATCGTACGATGTAAAGCGCTTAGACATGCGAGTTTACTTGCGTACTCGTTACAAGCTTAATACCGGATATCATGTCTGACCCGTCTGCTGAGGATGTTTACAGCAACCGAACTAGTACATTTTCTTCCGAAATGCCTGCAAATTTCGAAAATTCACCATTAATACAGCTTGAAGAGCTGTTAGAAGTTTCTAACCACAGATCTACCTCTATTAATTTGGAAATGTCAGTGCTAACTCCTATACCGTCTCCTACTAATGTCCGTTCGATCTGCCATAGAACATTCTGCACTAATCATGTAAAGAGATCCTCCGTGATTTTTTCGTCATCATTTCGCACCATGAATTTACCTGCTACTTTGCACTCAAGCGATCGCACCGTAACTCCAAAAACGACTAGAAAACGACAGAGGTGCCCAAAGGAATGGTCAGACCTTAAAGGCAAATGCTTGAAAAACTTAGGTAAAAATATGTAACAAAAAAGGGAAAAATGCAAACGAAAAACGATGTGGCCATCATGAAAATGCCGTTACATATGCTGTGATAAAATATCTCACCAGCAGTGGTTGGACTGCTTCACAAAACTTTGGCAACTGGGAGTGGATTTTTTTAAAGGATAAGGGTGACAAACGAGCACACAGTCCACCTGATGGTTGCTGTGGCCCATAGACATCTACATCTATCCTCAAATATGAATCAAAATGCAGATGCGTTGTCACCCGTGAGGACTAAGATGGAATACCTCGTTTCCAGAAACTAGGGTCTCCGGTTCTCTACACTCACCAAACGAAACACAGCAGCGTCAAGCTGCTATTTTACGCTGGTATTCTGTGAGAGCGTGGTCCTTCTCCGGTCGAACCGACCCATTCGTGCTACAACTATACAAGTAATATAGCTTTAGCATGGCTCTACCACGTAAAAAAATTTCATCATTAATTATTCCGAGAAAATGAAAAATAAAAGATGCCTGAATCAATGTAGTCCCAATGATAGGAAACACACTTTGAAGTATTATCTGCAAGAGGACAGACGGGGTCGCCACGACCATCTTAACTTAAACTAAAGTTAAAGATGACGCAATGAAACAAAGTGTTTGTGAACATGTTCGGGCTATAATTCCTGTTAAATCACACAATATACGCAAGAATAGCCAGCTTTTGGCTATTCTTGCAAGGATTATTACTACAAGGAGGCTTAAGTATGTATGGATGTTATGTAAGTATGTTCAAACTGTATCTTGAATGGTTCGACCCCGAGAACTACACCTCTAAGGCTACATAATAACACTAAAATAACAACTTCAATCTAGCTTTCCATATTCCCAAAAAGGATCAGTGCGATGAATGTCACGTTTTCCGGTTGAAAAATAATCCATCGGACCAAGAAAAATAAACTTTTCAACAACACAAGAGTAGTAAAAAGATGGCAGATGGCAGGCAGAAGATGGTTTGATTTTAAAAAGTATTGCAGTGTTCTCATGGCACTATAAATATATATTTTCTATAAAATTAATTTTTTCTTTTAACTACACGGTTTTTCACACGGATAAAATGAAAGCTGTTTGCTATGTGGGATGAATCTGTGGCAAAACGTGGCGTAACTTAAGTAAGCAGTTGCTTATTAGATTTTATCTAGGCTAATGTTGATCAAGAGGCCAAAGAGTTTCACTTTCGGTCAGACAATTGTGCTGGCTAAAATCATAACCCCTTTGTATTTTCATTATAAGTTTACGCCGCAAAAAAAGTTCAACATGTGCATGTACATCGGGTTTTCACTCACAGTGTCCACAATGTCGTCGAGAGAGCTTCTAAAACTAAAACTATCTATACTCCTCATGAATGGCGTTTATTTGTAAGATGAGCTAAGAATGAAGGAGAACCCTATGTTGTCCGCAACGTAATACAGAATGACGTGATTGACTTCAAATGTCTTAATAGGATTGGGTGAAAGACATTAAGGGCAAGAAGAATAATTGGGGTAACATTCAAGAAGTTAATGCAGACGTTAGTGATTCCAAGAAATTATTTTTAAATATGACCTCACTTAACTTTATTATAATATTTAAGTGGTGCGCGGTAACATGAAAAACTCTGTACAAACTGAACTAAAAACTGCATATTCCGAACATGTTATGGTTCCTGCTACTAATTATAAAGACTTAATGGATATGTGCCGCTCAGAAGTAATTCATCCATACTTTAACTCTTTGCCACATCACACCACTGTTGATGATTTTGAAGAATCACATGATGACCTATCGGAATAAGAAATATTTTAGATATTTTTTTTTTCTTTTTTGCTGCTTCTTTTCTACCGACTTCAGAAAGGAAGAGGTACTCAATTCGACTGTATGCTTTTTTTGTTTTTATTTATGTGTGTTAGCTCATATATTTTTCTGAGTAAATCGATTTCATTGATTCCTTTTTTATTTGAAAGTTGGTGATTTACATGTAGTCCCATATAAATTTGATTAAGGTCTGACAAATAGTTTTTGAGTT